AATCCTTTTTGCAACCCGTTTTGGGGAAAAAGAGTCCTCTATCTTTGTCTTTAGGTACAGATGTCATGAAAAAAAATTTTGATAGTGGTCAAAATCGATATTTTCGTTGAAAAATACCCGAAAATTTTCGAAATTACAATACTTTCTTTAATTAGTATAAGAACGTAAAAATGGGTTAGAAGTGAATTTAACAGCAGATGGATAGCCTAAGAGCTTAGCGAGAACACAAAGAACCTTAACAAACCCTTTGGGCGATCGTTTAAACTTCCAGCATTTTTTTTTTTTTTTTTTCTTTTTGACATCGTTTAGTGAAATACTACAGAGGGAATTTTATTTCTCTGTATGTCGTGAACGAATATTTGACTCTCATAATATAATTAATCTTACATTTAAGACTAAAATTAAGTTCATTTATACTCATTGGTCAAAAGAAAGAAAAGACATGTAGTAAAATAAGGAAAAACTGATTCGAGTTGCACTGCATATATGGAAGAGAAAATTTCATGACTAAAGAAAGAATTGCTAATATATCATCGTATTTATTTGTTCTAGCTTTAGAAAATAAGAAGTGCTTGCAATATTTTAACCGATTATATTGTAAAGAGCGAAAAATAAGTTATTGCATAATGTAATTATGTTCCTTTTTATATAGAAACGCTATATTTTTGTTAAACATTGCAGGCCGTTCCGTATTCAAACCACCGCTTACTTTTCTGATGCCATTCCGTATTATAAACAATACCTACTTTGACACATTACGAAATTATTTCCCATTTCATTCGTAATTTACATTAGAAAGGCGTAACATTTAGTTAATTTTCAATTGGTAATTTCATTTATTAGTTTCAATTAATTTTTCATATTAATTTTCTTAGAATGAAATAAAACTTTCATATGAATGATTTAAAAACAAACCGCTGTATATAATTAACTTTTTACGTTGTACGTAAACTACAAATTATAGAGCTTGAGACTAATTGAAATATGAGATCACTCGGTTGCAAATTAGTGGTTTCAGCTAAAATTCGATGTACAGAAATTTTCTGTAAATAAATTTAATTTTTATGTTGAATTTATAAATTAAACTTGGATAAAAATGTATTCTTGTTTATGCGAATAAGTGAACTGCAGTCAGCAGGGAAAGAAAAATAAAAGAGAATTATTATACGAGAAATAAAGGGACTATTATAGCAGGAAAACGGAAATAAAAGAGAATTTATTAGTAAGCGGAAAACAAAAATAAAAGGGGTTTATATTCTCAAAGTGAATTATTACGCATGTGCAAGCGGATTTCATTTTAAAATAAATCTAAAACTTTTTTGTCTCAAGTAACTGTTAATATAAAGAATTTCTGCAAATTGAATCTCTTGAACAAGTTTTGATTTCTCTAATATTATCTGTTTAATATAAAAAGATGGTCTTTGTGCTAACACTGAATATCTTGAGTTTAAGCAATGTAATTTCAATTTTTCTTATATTGTTTGCTTGATATTCAAGTATTCTGCTGCTTCAATGTTTTTCCACTTTTGTTCGGATAAATTAAAGGCAACGTTATTCTCGCGTAAGCTCGCACATTGAGTCTCTTGATATAAATTTTTACACTAAACAATCTTAAAAATTTTCCTTAGCAATACTGAACGTCACTAAAGCAAATGTTTTTATCTCTATGAATTTAGATCTTAAACTTTTCTTAATGATTTTTATTTGAAGTTTATACCGGTGTAGCTGCGGTGGACCAGACAAAGATAAGAAATTCATTCATTATACCGTTGTAGTCGCTATTCCCCACAAGTCTTAATGTTCGAGCTGTTAACGAGGTACAAGGTGATAGGTTGCGAGGATGCATAAAAAGTACGTCTTTCACTTACGGCTTCATTTGACATTACAAGAATCATAACTTCTCGACCACTGTCAACGATTTTAGCGATATATACTGTGTCTGTCACCAGAGCTTCTCGATTTCAAGGAGGCTGAAAGATCAATGATCCTATTGCTTGAGAATTAATGATTATCGCTTCAACTGTAACGAATCAGAGGCCAGACAATACAACCGAAAAATTAAGAAGACGTGACTAATTCAGTTTTGAAACTGTTTTAGTCGAATCAAGAACAAAGAATGCTCTTAAACTCTCGTCTGGAGAGGCTCTTGTCGCTGGTAAGATCCTCATATGAGGAAAACGGTAACCTATAATAATTATTTCTATGCCTTCAATGTTGTGATGTATCGTTAATAAAACTTCTCATAGATCTAAATTAGATGCATTTTGTATCTAGACGTAACCTTATGAGACAGTCACCACATAACATCAGTGCAGATATAATCCACCATCACCCCATAATATTATCTTTAATTCACATAAATACTTTGACATGTAATGTTCTTCTAAGTTTTCTTCTACTGCTGATATGCAAAGCTTCATTTACTTTATTTGACATTTATCAGGGAGTTATTGCTTCAGATAATTTTGCAACTAACCCTGTTCGTGATGCAATATTTAGGTTACGTTAGGTGTTGTATCCATATAAATACATTTCGTTTCCTATGTCATGAAAGAGATCACAAGGATAAAAGAGAACAAGAAACATAATGCTCTCGCTTTTCAGAAAAATATATACGTCTGATAAGATCTGAAATGGGTATTCTTTATCCCAAAAAACCATTATAACGAGACATATCTGAAATAGATGGCGCACACATGTACAATGTAAAATCTTCTAGTGATATACTGGAACTTCCATAAATATTTCAAAGTGAAATATGTCTGCTTTTAGCAACTTCAGTACTATGATTTGAACTTTCTTTTAAATTTTTGTAATGGGATGCCGCTTAAATATAAACAGAAAATAAAATTTCAGGAATTATTCTTTTGGAACCGAAGCTGTAAATGCTCAGAATAGAAACTTTCAACCTTTATTAGCAGAAATTGAAGACATTAACAATAAAAAATATATAATTAATAGCGGCAGAAGGAAATTAAAATAAATAGAGGAAGATAAAGGCATCATTCGACACGTTAGAGGAAAAAAAAACTTTCCAACATCTTCAGAAGGAAATTTGGAAGAACATTAATGGAAAGTAATGACAGTTCAAAATATATTTGTGTAACTGGGAATTTGTAGGATTGATTATTGCGACAATTAATTGGGAACAATGCAGCCAAATTCAAAAAAGGAAACTATGCGGCAAGTTTACAGAATAAATGTATTGTGCCTGTATTGCTCAAGGAGTAAGTTAGTTCAGAACATGCGAAATTTGTGTGAATGATATTATAACACGTAAGAGTGTTTAATTGCTTAATTTGACTATTCGAATTATGCGATTTTATCTAACCGCTACTAAAGTATATATATATTAGTAGCTAGTATCGCAAATCTAAACATACGTACGCTTAATTAGTTGTAATTTAGGGAACAGAGCAGCTTCCTAAACTATCTGCATTATTTATGGCATTTCTAAGGGCACTAAATTCAGATTATGATATAACTTCAAATTTGAGCTAGCGTATGAAATTTCTAGTCTTAACCCGGCGTTACTCCCGCCGGGCTTCCGAGGCCCGATCAGTTTCTTAAAGCTATGTAAACCCTACCGCTTAATACTGATATGGACCACACCCGATCTAGCTGAGTGTAAGGTGACTTTTGACACAAAAGACGCGTTTCCGGAATTTTGATTTATTCTATTCGGACAAAAGTCATTTTTCGGGTCACTTAGGCCCGGCGCGAGTAAACGTGTTTCTAATTTCGAGTTTGAAGTGCACTGAGTTCGTAGCACAGTATGGCTCGCAGATTAACATATGATGAAGAAATGGAACGATTACGTACTTTGTAGATGAAATATCGACTGAGGACGAATCTATCGAAGGTGATGATTTATTGTCTGTTTGCGATGAAAGGTTTAGTGAGCATAATTCGTCGTGTGAAGAAGAAATCGAGTCTGATGAAGAGGACGCTACTGATTCTAATTCAGTTGATTGTATTATTGGAAAAGATAGAAGGACAATTTGGAAGAAAACAAAATTTCGCCAAAATGTTCAACTTTATCACGAAATAAAATTTCAAAGTTGCCTGGGAATGTTGGAGTGGCCAGAAACGTAACTTATCCTGTTGAGTCTTGGAGTTTATTACTGAATGAAAATATCTTGAATATGATCGTCACCTGTACAAATATATATATTGACACTTTCTGTGACAGCTTTCAGAGAGAATACGATGCTAAAAAAACAAAACTCTCCGAAATTAAAGCCTTTATTGGATTACTATATTTATGTGGTATACATAAATCATCCCATATGCATGTGAGTGATTTATGGCGCACTGATGGAATAGAAATAGAAATATTTCATCGCACCATGCCACATAATCGTTTTTTGTTTCTTATGAGATGCACAAGATTTGACGATGTTAGAAACAGGCAAATGAGAAAAAAATGGACAAACTTGCCCCAATAAGGTATGTATTTGGCTATTTGTGTATAATTGTCAGGAGTTTAACACGGCTGGATCATATGCTACAATTGACGAAAAACTCGAACCATTTAAAGGACGCTGTTCATTTCGACAGTACATGCCGAAAAAACCAGCTAGGTATGGAATAAAGATTTTCGCTCTTGTTGATGCAACAGCGTTTTTTACATGTAATTTAGAAGTTTATGTAGGTACTCAGCCCCAAGTTCCGTATCATGTAAATAATTCATCGGTTGAAGTCGTCAAAAGGTTAACAGAAAAGTTAAATTCTGGGACAAATGTAACAGTCGACAACTGGTATACTAGTTATGAACTTGCAAAATATCTCCTTCAGAAAAGCATTACTCTAGTGGATACCATAAGAAAGAACAAGAGGGAAATACCGAAATAGTTTGTGAACAGTAAAAATCGTAAGGTGCATTCATCCTTGTTTGCATTCCAGAAAGACTTTAGTGTCGTATGTTCCTAAAAAAAAAAAATAAAATAAAAATAAAAAAAAATAAATAAATACAAAAATTTGTAAACCTCTTATCTACAATGCATAACCACGATGCTATTGACCAAACGACAGGTGAGGCAAAAAAGTCTGAAATAATAACATTTTATAATTTGACGAAAGAAGCTGCCGATGTGGTGGACCAAATATCAGCAGCATATTCAACTGCAAGAATGAGCAAAAGATGGCAGATGGTTCTATTCTTTACACTGCTAAATACTGCTGCAATTAATGCTCGAGTATTACTCCAATACTCAAAATATCCATTCTTACAGCAAAGGAAGCGAAGTCAGTTTTTGAGTTGCAACAGATTTGCTGAAAGACTATACAGCGGAGAGGTGCCATGTCTCCCTCGACATTTGCAAGAAAAACTATCTTCCAAGAGCAAAGAACCTACTGCTAAAAAACAGGAAGTAATTGAGAGAAAAAGGTGCTATGTTTGGCCAAGTTCAAAGAACCGAAAATCTAAGCTAAGTTGTACAAAACGTGAAAGAAATGTCTGTGGAGATTATTCTGTTTTAACATGTACCAATTGTACGTAAAACCTGGTACGTTTTTTTAAAAAATTATATACATATATTGAATAAATTTAGAGCTCTAAATATTGTCTTAAATTATATTGTTAGTAACTGTTTAATAAGGTACCTGCATAAAATATAAATCCATAAACGGGTCTCTCAGGCCCAGTGCAAGCACTTGCGTACGTACGATTAGCGGGAGTAACGCTGGGTTAAAATAGCTGGGATATTTAGAGCTTTAATTCAAAATTGTGATCCCAAATTTCAAAATTCTAGATTCGTTTATATCCCTCTAATTTGAACTGAGTCTAACACGACCGGAGTTAAGGCATTACAATTCATTTTGTACACTTCCTTCATCTTCCACACATTTATTGCAGCATCTATAACACTTTTTTCCGCGGACGACACTCGAATTTTAAGTTAAATTCCTGTATCTTCTTAAGGAGGGAGAAAAAAAAAAAAAAAAAAAAAAAAAAAAAACCCACCTAATCATGCGCTATGACGAATTCCTTGCCGTGCACAACCTTAAGGCTTTATAAATTCATTAAGAATCAGCACCTAGATTTGCAGTTTTAAAACAGCTGGTAAAGCTGCAAATGCAAAATTAAAGCTGAAAGTGATGATCATCCTGATATAATACTTAATGTGAATCGAAGCAGAAAGATTTGGAATAGTATGTTTCCATACAACTTCCTTACAGCGACCAGAAAAAGAGAGAGAAACGTTTACAGCAGACATTAAGCTTTTCATGTTAGATAGACTATTTTTGTTGTAATAATTGACGAACTATAAAATTAAGAACAATTTTTACCAGTACAGCTACGTACCAATACAAGGAGAAAACTGCTTTTGTTCTGTTACACACAGTGTTATTCCGATGTTATACACGTGTTTGTATTGAAAGATCTTATATTAGGATAATACCTCTCGCAGAACCTAGTCTGCTTTCAATTTTAGGAATGTAATATAAATTATCTCATAAATTTATATCACAAACAAGATTTTGTACGCTCAATAAAGTGTTTAATTAGATTTTAGGAAATAAGTTCCTTTCATACATCAGTTTATCTCCAATGTACTGAAGGCAGGAAAAGAAGAATTTCACAACTCAACCATACTTTCTATATCTCCTCATAAGTTATTGATCGGATTTATATCAGGAAATTGACTGGTTAATTTATTCTCTCAAAGTCTTTGGGAATTAAACTGCAATGTTTGTATGAGCATTGCCATTCTTGAAAAGAAAATCAAATACACACGCATTTCTAAAATACCTTTCTTAGAGTTAAAAAAATTCATCTATTTTCCGAGCAGAAACAGATGTGCTGAAAATATTGAACGTGTACGACATTATATACAAGACAGCTACAGGGAAAGTCTGTAAAACAATCTACAAATCATTGTATTATAAATCAGACGCACAGCTACAGATTCCCAGCTACATAAGTTTTACACTGATTATTACAATGGATACTGTGCTCCCAACTGATGACCCATAAAATGGCACCTCCAAACAACAAGTAATATCCAGTGATGCAGCGTCAGTTTTAAACTTCAGATATATCTTTCAAGCACCAAGAAATCAACACCATCATACGAAATCTGCCAAAAACCAACAGGTCCAGATGGCATCAACTTCAAAATAAAATCAAAATAGCATATCCAACCAACTCACAGGTCTTCCATAATACCTTTAATAAATGTCTACATGCTAATATTTTCTTGAAAGCATTTAAAATTGGCAAGTTATCTTCTTTTTAAAGAAAGCATAAATATACAATACATCCAGGGTCCTTTTAATCGATATGCTCTCTTCCAACGCTTAGAAAAATTTGTGAAAATTTGATTATCATCTGGATCAAGCATCACCTTAGAAACAAAATCTCTTCAGCTCGTATTAGCATGGCTTTCGCACAGGCAAACCCACAATTCATGACCTGTCACTAATAAAGACATATATTTTATAGAACAATTTCAATAGAGACAACACAACAGTAATTAGTCTCGACATTAAAAATGCTTTCGACTCTCTAGAGGTGGCCGGCTATGACAAAATTATCCAGAAATCTCACGTGTCCAGAAAATTTATATCCTACTAGCTAACAGAAAGCTGATTAATAATATAACGGCTGCATATTAAGAGAACGAAGCAGAAGTTGCCTCCAAGATTTATGCACAGGACCATTATCATGGAGCCTTACATTCCACAATCTTTACAGCAGAATGGCCTGATAATGCCAAAGCTGGGGATTACACCGACGACGCAGCACTACTTCTCCATTGCGGATAAAGGTAGAACTGGAAGAACATGGCAAAATCTCTTGCCAGTTACTGAATAATCTCTTCACATCCCTGAAGATAATCATTGTAGACTCTAATTCATCATCACTCTTAATATCCAAGAAAAGCAAAATTCTTCATAAGATCAAACATCAAATCAAACGGCAAGAACATTTAAAGAAGTGAAAGAAATAAAGTACTTAGGTTTTTTGTGAGACAGGAATTTTCGTGTATCCTACATTTTACAGAATTCTTACATTAGCGAAAAAACCGAAATAATTTTAAGGCACCAATTGAGGTCTAACAACACCCTTATCCAATAACTTCTGTACAACACAGTAATAGAGAAAATACTCACAAATGCCGCAGGAATATGTCCAACGCCTAATCTTCAACAATGATTGCCAAGTAAAAAGGATTACGGCGACTGCCGGAACAAATGTCATAACAGGTTTTCTCCCATTACGTATTCGAGTAAAATAAAAAGGACATTTCAGCTGTCACAATAGTTTTTTTTTTAAACATAGGCGATAGCAATAGCCAATGCACTCAAATATATCCCTGCAGGGAACATACGCCGTCCATGCATTTACACGAACAGTATGCCTACACTATACGATCATGTCAACAGTACTCATATATCACTAACTGAAATACGACAGGATCTGCGACGACTGAAGTTACATCACATCGGCCTTCATTGAACAGAAGAGTACATAGGCTACATTGGTAAAGAAATCGCAAAGGAATCTGCCAACAACGAAAACGATATTCGATTTCGAGATATTCGATTACCTCGTTAATTTCTCAATCATCAACTCAAAAGTAAAGTCTGCACCTTGTGCAAGAAGAACGTAACACCTTATAACAAGTATGATACACAAATTATCACAAACCAAAAGCACTCATACACCAAAATTCTCCCATTCCAAAACTAACACGCTTCATCAGCGGACGTGGAGATTTTCCAACATATTTCTATAGATACGGGATTTCAGACGCTCACATTTGTGTGGGCGGTGAAGAAGACACTTCAGAACGCTACTTGAAAAACTTCTAAATAACAGAAGAACTGCATACAAAGGTTCCAAATAAAAGTCCATAAGCATTTAGCAGCTATTCCATTACGGAACCTCACTTAATACAGAATATCTACAAGAATAATAAATGCCAGATGTGCTCTCCCAGTACGGGGAGGAACTGTGTAATAAAAGAAAGCAGGAAACAACAATTTATTATAGCATTTGTTATTTGTGTACCATAAATGTACTTCTTAATCGTATAAATGCTAATTTTGTACATAGTATTGTACAATCTCTGTAGCCCAAAATGCGAATGAAGTGATGTGACTTGACTCATACGCAAGAACTGATGTTTCACATCTTGAAAATAAATTGTCTACATTTTTCTCAGACTAATTTAGCATTTTTTTTTGTGATCATATTTAAGTTCGCTTTTTGTTTATTCGAAGAGAAAAAATAAGACTAAATGGTTATCATGTGAAGTATTTCACTCATTTTAGTGAAAAATGTTCGAAAATTTTCTTATACATGACATTTACGTGAGTAGAGAAAATTTGCGAAACCAATGTATTCTTACAAACATAAGATTATATTTTAAAATCCAATATACATTAAACAAAATGATAGTTTTGCAAACATCTCGTAAATATCTTTGCAAATATTATTATTCAAGTGTATTATGAAAGTTTTATACCTATTCCATTAAAAGCATTAACAACAAATCTTTTGCAATTTGTATGCTAGTCTTAGAAGCTTTCTTCATGGTAAAAGCTAAATGAAAAATTTATGTTTACCTAATGGAATATTTAAATACAATTTATTAAACTGACAGAGGCTGAAGCAATTCTGCATGATCCAACTAATATATATATCTTGAAACAGTGGGTAAATAATACTGGTAATAATGTAGGGATATAACATGCATGATAGCTATAAATAGTTGCCTTAGGCGTATAATTACTAATTTTCGTGCATAAATTATCTATGTAAATTATATGTTATAATATGACAAATACAAAAGTGCCATAATATGACAAATAAAAAACAGATATGTATCAGTAAGCGTTCCAGCTGCAATCATTTAGTTTGAAGATTCTGAACGTCAAGTATTTTGTTGCTATTATTATTTAAAACACTCAAGAAAATACTGTCTAAGGAGAGAGATGCTTCATGGAGGACTTTCTTTCTAAACCTAGATCGTATTCATGTTATACATTTGTAAGGTTTCATTTATTTAGCAAGTTATCCTTTTTTTTTTTTTTTTTTTTTTTTTTTTTTTTTTGGCTTTTCTGTACTTCCTACTTTCGTCAACTTCCTCAGAATGCAATTTTCTTTAAAATATCAATGAGGTAGTTTATCAGAGTTTGGGAGCGTAAGCTGATCATTATGATACTGTAGATTTCTATTTTTGCATTTAGCTTACCAGCAAAGGTTTTCTGACACAGTTTCTTCATGAGGAGGTAGTCAAGGAGAACCAAGATTTCACACTAAGCTTTGCTAATTTTGTATGCTACATTTTATTCATCTCGTATTAAAAGTTTTTGTTTAACCACCGGTCAGCGGTGTTTCATTTCTGCTAATGTTTCCCATGTTCATTTACGAACATATTTGATCAACCTATCAATAAACAGTTTGATTTCGAATTTTAACTCGATAATTCTAATTAATAGAATTTTAACGTACGTTTTGTTAATTTAGCAGTTATTATGATTAATTTAG